TGTGTGTGTGTGTGTGTGTGCTGTTTCTTGGATTTGGTCCCGAGTGTGTGTTTTATTTTTTAAATACTCCCTCCTGCACACACATATTATAATATGGGCTATTGCAGAACTCGTGCCTGGTTTTAACCGTCATGTGCAAGTGGCAGCTACTCCTCAACACATGACCACTCTGTTTGATGTTTCCCTTCAATGCATAACCCTTTAGGGACCCTTCTGCTATTGAACTGGTCTATTTGCTTGTATAGAAATACAATGCTGAGCATTTACGTCTGCTATGGCTCACTGGCTTTAAACTTCATCTCTTCACGTGTGCTTACACACTATTCATCCATTTTCTAATAGCCAACTATCTTGGTCAGGTTACTGTGGCAACACGGTGAGGAGAGAAAACCAAAGTTGTGTTTCCCTTCAACATCTTCTATCTCCTTCTGGACGAGCACCAGATTGTCTCAGGTCCCTTTAAGTTAGCTCTTCTAGGTTTCCTTTTCACTGGTTATGTCTGGGCATTTACATTTGAAAAACGAGTGCAGTGTCCATAAAGTTTTTGTTTATTCAAATGTTTTTTAATATTGTATGTATCACTTGTCCAAATTGCACTTTCTTTCACCTTTAACAATACACATACCTAGTGTGAAATAGATAAGATAAACAGTCCCTGAGATATGTGAGCCACACACAGACAGATTTCCCAAATATGCCTATAATGTCAGCCAACATATCTCCTGTAACCGCTTTCATGTCAATTATTTGATTTCACTGACATGGGAACTGTCCAGAAATTACCATTAATATCATAACAGAAGGTACAAACCCACTGATCCTGCAGAAGGACTGGTTGTGGAGATTTTTGAGTTGTCTAACAACATTCAATAATCACCCATGCTTTTCTTGGCAGAGATGAAAAACACTGTAAGATTAAATTTGCAGAACTGTATTGTGTATCTGTTCATCTCTGTGCTTGTGTGTGGATATTGGCAGCAACAAGAGCAGTAAAGAGGAGACGCTCCTCCAGAGAAAGACCGCAGCTAGCGCACCTCCGCCCCCGAGTGAGGAGGCCATCTCCAGCACATCGGAGGACGACTCCGAGGAGGACCGCGACGATGACGGATCCGTATCCCAGCGCTCTACCCCGATCAAACTGCTAACAGAGTCTGGAGAGAGCACACGCACGCAGGAGGTATGAAAATACACACTGTCTATATAAATAAAAAATGCAGAAAGGCTTCAAGGATATAATAAACAGACAAGTAAAACTGAATTTGTATCCCTTAATGGCCTTATTGTTTAATGTGGATGGGAAATTGCAGACTGTTAAATGAGATCCTCTAATTAGTCATGGATAGGCAATCTCTTCTAAGGACCTCGGGGAGATTTCATCAAGTTCAAGCTGAGATTTTGCCACCTGGTTGTATATTTGGCCTGCAAAGCATTTTGTATTCCAATTGGAGTGTGTCACCCTGATTGTATTATATCCACTTCCTCATCCCCCGGTGTCTTGCTCTAGAAATTAGCTCTGTATTTCTACGTCAAACAGAAGAAAATATGTCAACATAATCAGCCACAGTGATGGGGGTTCATTAGCCGAGGTGGTATTCTTTATTATCCCCTCCTTCTCCTTCGACATACCTGTCAGTGCTTCAATCTTATCTCTTCTTTAAATTCTTGGATAGTAAAGGAAGTATGGCTGCCCACATCTTTGTGGATCATTAAGCATGTTTGTGTTGGTTAATCAAAAAAACAATGACATATGTATTGAATGGGATTTAACAAGTTGCATCCTGACAATGATGATTGCAGTTGTATTTTGTTTTTGTACCAGCCTTAAAGCATCCTTGCAGCTGGTGATCTATCCAGTATTGCATTCTTACTCATTTCTGTCAGTGTTTACTCCCTTTCACGTGCTGGAGAGAAATTTGTGAAGCATAAAACAGATGTGGGCAGACCAAAAGTGCTTAAAGATCATTCCATACCTCATCAACAGGAGTGTTTCAGACCACATTGCCACTGATGTGTCATATAGAGCACAGCAATCATGTGACAAATACCCAGGGTCTATCGTCACAATATCCCTATCTATTTCACGCCCCAGGTGGACCCGTCGCACATTCTTATTTCCTATTGACCCAAATTCGACACCAGCACAATGAGAAGTGGCACATTAATCAGCGCAGGTAGTAGGTCAGTGTGTCAACAGGATGATTCAGAAGCGCCACCAAACAGCTTCTTCTTGGAATTTGGAAGTTTATAAGAATGGTCTCAGAAGCTTGCATAAGGAACCCCCCCTGTGAAGTGCAAGCTGTTGATTGCAGCAGCCACTCTGTTACAATGAGCACAAGCATTATTTACAGCCCCCGTGACATCAGCCGGATTGAGATGAGTGCCTCTGCCTGTACTTTACCCCAGTGTCCTCATTAACATGCAAAATGAACGTGATTCACCGTCATTCTGTGACATTTTCATGGCCACAGTCCCAACTGCCTCATTGTTGGTCATCACACAGCCAAGCAGGATAAACCACCATCCCCCTATAATCAAGTGTTTTTATTCAAGGGTGCAGGTTTTCCTTTTGTGAGCATTATTTATTTATTTCATATCCATAACCCTCACACCCCTCCCTCTCTCATATAGTGTGTTTATCTCCTCTCAGGTCTGTCACTGTTGGACAGTGCTTCAGTAGGAACATTGGCAAAAATGTCATCTGCTTTTTGGATAGATTGAAAAAAAGGAAATAGGTTCAGAAGTGCTGGTCAACAGTGCTTGTGGAATAGTGATTTATATACAGGGAAACAAAAGAGCAACTCTGCCTCATATAAATGTCAATGCAATTCATAGACCATGAGCAGTGACTGATTGGTTTGAATATGAAAATGATTTGAATTATATGCTGTCGGCTTCACTAGTCACCAGATCTCAACCTAACAAAAGAAAGAGATTTTGGACCAATGTGTTGGAGAACACTCTCTTCCACCATCACCAAACCACTGAGCGAGGGAATACGTTTTGGAAGAATCATGCTCATGCCTCTGGTAGAGATCACAGACTTGTAGGATTTATTCAAAACTGAATTGAAGCTGTTCTGCTGGCAGTAGATTCCCTTTGGTAAAATAAAGTCTATCTGACCTCACCTTATGAAGACACTTGTTTGGAAAGCCTTGTTTCATTATGTTGTTTTGTCTAATCACCAATAATATTTTTATGCTCAACGATAAAAACATGTTTATATGTGCAGGATTGTGTCTGCAGTATTTTTCTTTTTTTTTTAAAAGCCCACTTTAGCTGGACGTAAACTGAGAAAAGTGTCTGGACCGAATAAATTTAAAAAGGGTCATTTTTGATTCCCTCTGTCTCCATCCATCCTCCTGCTGATTGCTGAAGCATTTTCCATAGGTTTTTCTCTTTGTCTCTCCTCTCGGGGCCTTGAGCAATGAGCTCGTCATGATTATTGTGGGCTGAACGGTGAGCGCACGTGTCGGCTGCACACACTCACTCTCATGTGTCTCGTGTTGCTGTCCCTGAGCCTGTCCCTGAGAATGAATTGCCTGGGTGCCAGCACAACACAAAACTGATGAAATATTTAAACATCGGATCATTACCACGTTTGCCCATGTAATTACACATGCTCATTTTATATTCCTCCTCAGTTTGGGCATACGTGTGCATGAAGACATTTGTTTGGGTGCATTTGTGTTTTTTCACTCTTCTGTGCTGTGTGCATGTTTGTGAGTGTGTGCATGTTTGTGAGTGTGCATGTTTGTGAGTGTGCATGTTTGTGTGTGTGCATGTGTGTGTGCGTGTGCGTGTGTGCGTGTGTGTGTGTGTGTGTGTGCACTCAAAGCTGCTGTTTCTTGAATATGGTCCCGGACCACCCCCCTCCCTCATGCAGTCAGATCAATACAAATACATTGAAAATTCAAGAATGGCGCGGCGCCGGCTGCTTTAAGGCCCCTCGCCATTGTTATGTCACTGAGTGTTGCATAACGAGCTTAGCTCTGTCCTTGTAGGTTTATATACAACTACAGATTTCATAATTTCTTAACCAAGAGAAAATATACATGAAACATGAATAATCATCTCTTAGTTCAAGGTAAATCTCATAGTGAGCTAATAGTTAATACTATGCAACCTGAGTTACATGTCAGGCTAGAAATAAGACAAAGTAAACTGATTAAAAAGGAATCGGGTTTGAGAACAGTTGATATAGTTGTGTGACTAATAAATTACCATAGATACCATAAATGCAAAACATCACCATTGTTCAGTAAATTCAGTAGAGTAAAATTCTTCATACCCTCCACAGAATTTCATGGAAATTGGTGAAATATTTTATGAGTCTGTAAGGGGAACGGCAAAGAAGACATAACCTCCTTGGTAACAACCTCATGTAGATGTGTAGTGATGAATGAGTATGAATGAGTGTAGGGTTAAATATGATCTGGATCTAGGAATACTTCAGAATTGTGTTGCCTCACACTCAGGTAATTCAAGCTCATCTCTTTTCTCGTGGACCAAGCTTGGATAAATGTTTCCGCTCAAGCAATCTGGGTCTGCCATCATTTCCTCCATCAGGTCACAACATTTCCCCACATTATTACGACATCACAATTTAACATAACCAATAAACAATCGTGATGTAGATCTCATTTCATCATATTTATTTATGTACTCACATTCATGCTCAGCTGTCATGAATGGGTCCCATGTCTGCCAAGAAAACTCTTATAGCACCATCCTCACATGGATCTGTGCTGTATACAGGAGATACCATTCTACCTTCCTTCAACATGTTGTTGAACCTTCAGAGAATGCTTCCTTTTGCACAGAGCTATTTTTCTTGGTCATCGTCAGCTTTGTAAGAAACAGAAAAACAATGAGGATGACTCAGAGGGCAAACATTTTCAATACAAATAAATGCTGAGATTATTTTTATGGACTTGTCTTATTGCGGAAATAAGATAATGAAAGGAAATAACTTAAATTTGCCTCTTTTCTTTTTATCTGATTATAGCATGAACTCATACTACTCAATAATATTTTTTATTTTATTTTAGGTTATTGATCATTGTGAGGTGGCATTAGTCTAATCAGTTAATTGCATTTTCTTTGAATGTTTTGCATATTCTCTAATGATAGCGTGCTCTTGGTTATAATTTCATTATCTGGCTCTATTAATTTTTTTGTTATTTCAGACAGATGATTAATTTATAATCATATTTACAGTTTTAACTTAACTTGTTCTGTTTACATAATCTTTAAATTCAGTGAGACACTGAACCCATCTCAGGTGAAGTCTTTTTTCGAATCTGTCAGGTTGAACCAGTCTGACCCTTTTATTATGACCGTTATATCTCCACAGTTTCCTGGACACTGTGTGCAGAAACCCCAGGAGGGCACTATCCCTGAGCGTGAAACCTCATCAGACACCAACAATCAAATTACATTCAAAGTTGCTTAAATGACGCTCCTTTGGCCGTCCTAATTTGTGAATCGGTGGTGGGGAGGCGGCTGAACCTGATGACTTTGTGTGACTTCTCAGATTCTCAGTAAAGGAAGAGCAGATTTTGAACAAGAAGCTGAACCTGCTGTAGTCTGTCCCTCTGTATTAATGGTAATAATCATGTCTCACTCTCCTCTTTCCCCTCTGATCTCTGCAGGAGCAGCAGCAGACAGTTAAGGAGCCATATGGACTCAGCCTGGCCAAGTTTCCTACTGAAAAAGACATGCTCATTTACGAAAGGTAAACACTTTCGAATGGTTGATTGGTTTTTATAGGGGTGGGTTTGTTCCTTTAAGTTAGGACATTTGAGTTTCAGCAACCAGTTATGAGGAGTAATTACATTTCTGTAATAACATACAGTAAATCTGACATATTCTATGACATATAATGATGACATAAGAGACAATATTAATATTAAAGTTTGAAATAAAAGTTTTAAAAAGGGTTTTAAAAGAAGCTTGTGTCGTGAATTCCGTAATTTGGCGGCTCTGATTTGTTGTGAACTGATCGATAGGGGCACGTACCAGGTCGATAAATCTAAAAGAAATTTTGGTGCAAAGAGTAAATGTCTTTAGATTTGCAGGTTTATCAAAAGTATTGGACACATTTTTTTGATGGAGCTCGATGAAAAGTTGAGTCACTGCGGACGTTCTAATTAATTCTTCCTGGAACTTGAGTGATTTAATTTTTTTCGTGTCTCATACCTGTCGACTGGAGCTGGTTTGTTTGGCCTGCGGGTCTCAGTTTACTGTAACTCTGTTTTTATGGTGTCATGTGTGAAGCAAACTGTAAAAGCTCCAGTCTTATATTCAGACTGAAAATAGGAGAAAGTTGTTTTTTGATTGTTGTTGACAATGCACCCAGAGCCCAAGACAGAACGGGGGAGGAACAAGCAGTCACTGTCACCAGCCCCCTCAGGGGGATGAGGGTAATTTTCCAAAAGGGACATTGTCATCTCTATCCTGCTGTGTCTGTCGCACTTCTGACCTCACTGCTCTTTGTCCACCTCTCCCTTCCCTCACCCCTGAATATCATTTTGTCTCTGTCTTTCCTGTTCCATCCTGTCCTTTCTCCCTGTACGCTCCTGACCATGATGATGAGCCGCAGTGAATGGCCCCTATCAGGCTCTAAAATTGAACACTCCTCTGTTCTCTGGATATGAGCTGCACATTTGATACAGTATGATGCCTTTGATGATACTTTAATAGCTTTTTTCCCTCCTAACAGATATAACTGTTAAAGCAAGTTTTACCATTTGTCGAATGAGTGAACTATTTTAGTAAACGCATGTATGATGCGTGACATGATTCATTGTATGTTCTGTGGAGGAAAGGTTTTAGTTGATGAGTGTTTCCAAATCATTGCCTGTCAAACAATGACTTTCATTTCTTGGATTGCTTAATTTGAACGACTGTTGTCTGAAGAGGTGAAAAATTGCAAGAAAAAACTCAGCTTAGACAGAAACCAGGCAAAATAAACATAATTATGTGATTTAAAAAGATCTATTTTGCCGCCTTCTGAAGTGTATTTAAAGCAGAATAGTCAGAAGAAGCTGTTTGGATATAAACTAGCATTAATCTGGGATACCAACTGAAAATAAAAAAAATGTTCACAGCAGCTTATACTTCGTGTCTCGTGTCTCATGTGCCTTTAATAAGAGCCACAATTTTGAGGTGTGATTGAAGCAGGAGAGATTGCAGTGAATAATGTTCACGTACTCGTGCACATAATGGAAATGAAACTGCATTCATTATTGAGGCTGGACTTTGGAACGGCTCCAGAGATGCTGGTTGCAGCCATAGCTCATCTAATCAATGCATTAATATTAAAAATCATAAGCAAGAGCCAGAGGGGAACTCTTCACTCTCACATATTATTGTGTCATTGCAGAAGAATAATGATCGACGGGGAAATTTAAGATTTGATGATGATGTTTTTTGAACATAAGAATTCTTAGCAGACATGAGAAGCTCATCTCTGGGTGTTAAAATCAAAGATGATGATATTTTAAAGGTGGCTCGGAGACAGGTGACACTGTTGACCTTTTACCTTTTTGTTAGTTTCTCTTTACATGAAGATGATCTTGCAGTAACATTTTCTTCTCTTTTTTTCCAGTTTCGCACGTCTGGGCGAGAGCCAGCACAAAGTCGAGAGAACTGAACAAATAAACTTGGCGAACATCGTCTGCTTGTGAGTAGAACATGTAACACTTTCACCCAAACACACACTCAGACAAAAAAAACACAAACTCTTAGTGGCGCTTATAATCCGACCCTTTTTAAATACCACTCAGTGTTTCCAGCAGCCTTGGGACAAGTGCACACAGTTGCTTGGACTAAGTGGTCTCCAGGGAGGCTTCTCGCTGTGCAAAATTTAATCTTCGTGTCTCACAAACAGCCACTCCTGTTATCCGTATTTCCTCGTCAGTCCACTCATCGCCCTGCTGCTCACTGCAGCCATACCAAGCAATCACAGACTTTCTCCTCAGCCACATCAAAAATCCAGCCACACGTTGAAAGGCAATGTGCAGCCATAATGACGCCCGAGCAGTTTCCCTCCCTCTCCTGCTGTCTTTCTCTCCAGCTCCAACTTGCACTCATGCACTCAGTGACATGAATTTCAGTGACGAGATGCCTCATCAGGATTTCTATTAATGTGCATTGTTTTGAATTCTTTAATTCTTCTCTGTGCATGTCCATAGAATAAAGGGCCTTTTAATTGCATATAAAACATTTCTGTTGTCCAACAATTAAAGGCCAGAGCAGAGTCCTGCACAGATCCAGATCCTCGCACCTACAGGACCCATGACAAACTGCTCCATACTCAATCACTCACACTAAATGGGTTTTGGTCAGGGTGCGCACAAACAAAAGAAGTAAAATAAGTGTGAATTGCTAAAACTTTTGTGGCATTTCCTTCAACAAACACGATCTGTTCAACAATACCAGTCACTCAGCACTTGGTCCTCCAGAAAAATATAAAACCATCCTACTCAAAGAAAATAGCCGTCTGAAGTTCAGTCTGAACAGATGAAAGATTCCTAAGCGATGACTTGCAGAAAGAGTCGAGAGGCTGCAGAAGCGCAATAGTGAAATAAAAGTGGCTGTTTCATAGATTTCTCTTAAAATAGATCCAGGTCACCAGACAGTGTTTTCAATTCCTCTGTGTGCAGCAGAACTGGACGTTGATTGGGGTGAATAAATGAAATTTAACTCTTAACCAGGATTGTAAGTGGACCGTGAATCATGTCTGTCATTTTCTAGAAATGCACCAAAGTTAAGTCTTCAGAGGATGAAGGTTTGAATGTTGTGTGAGGTTGAAATGAGTTGGTGAAAAGGTAGGGGAAGGTTAAAGTCAATGAAAACACGATTCAGTCAGGTATTCAATCACCGAACCTGTGGCCCCTGCAGGAGAACTCAAGCCTCTGAATGCGACATATAATTCAACATGGCTTGTTTAATGTCACAGGAAAGGGAACAGGATCACAACACCTTTTCATCCTTGTTGAGTTTGCATCTCCGCTCGTCTTCACCTCTCATCACTCTGCCGTGGATGAATGGACTAATGAATGGCCAATCAGGATGCAGGAGGGGTGACTGAGGTTGCACAACAGTGCCATTGTGAGGGTGTTACAGCACCTCCAACACGTTTTCACTAGCAGGAGCTTCTTGGCTTCTCACCTCCCTCTGCTGTGTTCCTGTGTTCACCCACTGTGTAAAGGCAGAGCGATTGGTGGAGATAAAATTGAAGGATAAGACGCATTAGCAAGGAATTTTTTTTTCTTTCTCTGAATTATCATTAGCATTAAAGTAGCGGAGACACATTAATGGTTTTAGTTAGTTTTAAGTATTTCCCTTTATTCTGTGAAGAAGGAATATAATATTTCAAATTTTTTAATTGGGCATAAATTATGAGATTTTTATACATTCTAATCTTGTAATACCTTCAGAATAAATTAGGCATGAGTTTAAAATGTGAAGTTATTGTATTTTTTAAAAAAAACATGAGAAAAAACGTCATCTAACAAGCTCTTTTTTTATTGCCTTGACTTTAAGACCCCCTGCGGTCAAAATCACATATTGTATTAGTGTCTGTAATCAACTAATTATTCTCCATGGTAACCAGATAATATGCACATGGTGCCATTTTCTCCATTCTGATAAACTTCACATCCTTTTTCTGTTATTGTGAAGCTGTAGGAAAACATCCTGGGAGCTGGGGGATCTCCCTGCTCCACTCCACCGCAGCTTGACATGTCGGCAGGGTGTAATGATACTCTGTAAGAGCTGCTGAGATCTCAGCTGCGTGTGAAGAGCCAAATCAAGTCAACACACAGACACACACAGCAACACTTGTTGTGTGTGTTTAACTGACATCATAGCATCACCCACTGAACATCTATACTGCTGCTTCTGAACACACACACGATGAATATAAAGAGAGTTAGTACAGTGAATATAGTCCTCTTACTTCTTTATACTCTTCAGATTTCATGATTCTCTCCCACATACGTGCACTGACATGAGCTGCTCACCAGTAGCCTTTAATATCACCGTTGTGCGCAGTGGTTTTTCCTTCTCTTTCAAGCATTTGAAACAAACTGTCTCTGAACTATCTTCTTTCATGGTTTTGTTGAAATCATTTCATCAAAAATTACCACCCTTAATATTCGTAGTATGTTTATTTTATTTTTCATCAACATGCAATAAGTCATCTGAATGCCATGTTTTGTTTCCATATAAATGTAATTACGTTTAATATTTAGTTGAGCACTTCCATGTGACTAAATGAAGTAAACAACTAATAGTTAAATGTTTTCACACCAACCCTGCAGGTTCGAAATGTTCCACAGACTTAAATCCAGACAGTAAATCAACATAATTTGTTCCCCGGTGTGAATAAGGGTCAAATTGTGCAATCTTCTGGCACAGGAATCGTCTCTACTGCCCTCCACCTTTAAGACTGGAGCAGAACTTGGCAGTGTCAAAGTTGGCTTCTGATTTAATGCACATAAAATCTGAGTGGAAACACGGAAAATTCCCCAAAATACTCATCCTACATCATATTTCAAGCTTTACTTGCTTGTGCTCTCAGCCTCTTGTGGTTACTTCCCCTTTGGTCCAAATTTGGTGCTTGGACCCCCATAAATACCGGCTCTAATATACATTCAATCCTATTTAAAGACGGCATGAGGACTCATAATAATCCTAAAGGCTTCCTTGGTCCAGCACAGACTCCGTTGTGCTAATCATCAATGGGGAGCATTTGTAAAACAGCCATGTGTGTGAGCAGCGTCTAACTGGGGCCTCAGCTGCTGTTGAACCAGCGGACTGATGGATTACCGGACACGATAATGCACCCTGAAGGTGATGAGACATGCTTTAGAGTGTAGCTTCTGAAAAGATATGAGTGTTGTAAAAGCCTCATCACTGTCATCCTCGCATTATTTCCATCAACAGCCCTCATAATGACCCGCCCTCTCCTGCACAGTTTCACAAGTTGTTGATCAAATAAAAGTTCCCCTCCTTTTTTATTTTCTTTAGATATTTAAAAAAAATTTTTTTTTGCATGTTTCTCTATCACTGCAGGAGTTTTCTAAAAATTAGTTCACCCATTCATCCGTCATTTGAAACATGCCCGTGTCCCTTTTCTCACCAGAGAGCCGGTGTCATGCTTCGCAGAGGACAGCATCTACGGAGTTTCCCCCCCGCGGGTCGACAGAGACAGCCGAGATGTGTTCGAGAGCCACGTGCTGACCAGTCAGGGTCAGGTGAGGGCCCTGTGCAGGGATGACATGTTGATGTACAGGGAGTATGTAAAGAACAGATACATGTGAGACGTGGACTCAGTCACTGACATGTGTTTTTTGAATGAATGGCTGTTGTCCTGCACATTGTTTATACTTTAACACGTTTTGGTTTCAAGATTTTTGCTTCAAGGAAGAGCAATAGATATTTTCTTTTGGCTTAATTAACCCACGTCTTGAATTTTCTTTCCTCCTGTTGAGAAAGGCTCAAATCCAGAAAAGCCACAACAAACCGCCTTTAAGACCCTTTTTATTACTTCTTTGTGTTATTTTCATCAAATGCATTTTAATTTCACTTTTTACTTGATTGAAGAAAATGTGCCGTTTATTTCAAAACTGTTACCTGTTTTGTCTCAGTACTTGAATCCTAAATTCCTAGTAACAAGATGGTCAGCTGTCTCTATAACACCCACCTTTTTCACTTTGTGAAATCAGCTTCACGTCACTTGAGCATTTAAAATGTTTTTTTAAAAGTCCTCACAAGATTGTATGTTTCTTTGTTTTTTTAACTGGTCAGAAACATTGGTCTTAAAAGTCACACATTACTGTAAATCTACATTCTGGTAATTTAACTTTTTAAGGTCAGTCACGTCTTATTTCGAACATTTGATACAACCTCAATTGTTTGTTCATCATCAGACAAAACTCCTGATACCGTATGTGTATATATATTGTGGGTTTTATCATAAAATACTCATTCTCATACATTCTCGGTTGACAGAACTGCACAGATTTCTTTTGTGTCATGCATTTCTGAGATTTCAGCCTCTTACTGTGTGTACTTCTAAATTAAACATTTATTTATTAACATGGTGTGACGGATTTGAGTGCTGTTGCCTCTACACGGTCATTTTTTACCTCTTTTCTTTTTTGACTGTGTTCACCCACAGATTCTTTTGCTCTGTTGTACGTGCACACATTGAATGTTATTCCTGTCGTGCGGCGTCTGCAATTGTCGCTCATCGCCTTGCAGTTCCTCTTTCTTGCACCCAACACCCCACTGCTCTCCGAGTCTTTGCCTCGTGAGCCTGTAGGGGGGGTGGGCGGTAGGGTCAGAGGAGAGCTGCTTCAGCATGTGATGTTTTGAAGAGTGGCAGGGGAAAGAAAAGTTCTCGTGTTTATTTTAAAAGCAAATTAACTTAAAGAGAAGAGGACGTGTGTTTCATCCACATTCTTTCTAATTTAAAACCCTGCTGAACTTTCATCGCACAGTTCCAGATGTTAGGATGAGAGAGCGCTGCAGATACAGTGTTCAGTGATGACACGTCACAGATGCTTGTGTGTTTATTGATATATGGATCCTCTCAGCAGCCTTATCGTTCATCTCCAGACGCTTTCATTGGTTTCTGTGGCTCAGGAGGGAGAGAGGGTCGCCCACTAACCAGAATGTTGGTGGTTCGATCCCTGGCACCCCCAGTCTCCAAGTGTCCTTGGGCAAGATAGCGAACCCCCTGACGGCTGTGCCGACAAGACTGTTGGGGGATAGAAACAACTTCTACTGTAAAGCACTGGAAAAGCGCTTTATAAATACAGTCCCATTTACCATCAATACATCCAGTGTTTACAATGACAACTATTGTTTCCACTGTGTCCCATCACCATAACATAGAGCCTGCTCTTTAATAACTACTCACCGAGTCAAATCTAATAAGAAAAATCAGGAGGAAAAACAAAAACTGACTGTACCAGGCTCATATTTTACAGAATTTAAGTTATTGAAGGACGTCAGTTGCACGAACTACACAACCAGTTTAGTAAATTGGGTAAAGGTTCCACTATGGGTGCGTTCCAACGTGACATGTTTGTGATGTGAGATGATGTCCATTTTAACAAATGTCTGCCTCTTTTGTTGGTTGTCTAATAAACTGTAGATATTTTGGTGGTTAATTGTGTATTAATGAGCAATTAACTGGAATAAAAACCTTTAAATATCTTAGATTTAAAAGAGTTCACCCCACTGAAATATTTACTTGTAGTATCTAATGTAAATCTAATCTAAACACATGGTGACTTCTTGTTAGAGCTTAAACTGCTTTTCTTGGTTGCTTCATCTCCGGATTCCCAGAAACGACGCCAAGGACATGACCAGTGTGTTCAGTAGAGGCTTTTAAAACAAAAACAAGCTCGAGCGGGACGAGAGAATCCCTTTTAAAGGCTTGACATAACACAAGGGTAATTTTTAAAGACATTTTTAAATCCATCACCTGCGATTCATTTCTTAACTCCTTCGATTTGGGCCTTTTGACATTAGCAGGTTCTTGGCTGTTGCAATTATAATAAAATGGAGGTCATGCTGACAGTGAGGCGGTTGCAGGTACAGTGGGTCAGACGCACTTATCAAATTCTGTGACTCGTTCCAAGTTGTCCACTCATGTTGTGTTCCAGGAGTGCGTGTATACTTCTCTTAAAAGAAGTAGGTCAACTTTGTGAGGCCGTACACCTTAGATGAGACGTTTCTCTCATACCAACAGATGATTCTTAATTTTTTTATAATTCATTATAATTCACCAATAGTAACTAGCTTTTCCTGTGTACATATCTTTATAAGGGCATTTTTACATCCAGGGGTGAGCCCCGCAGCTCGAGTGTTTGTTTACAATAATTGCAAGCATTTG